TATAATATATATTTATATTTATATTATACGTATGTATATACGTACGTATTGTTAGGTTACAAAGTAATTTAGTAAGTAGATAGGTAGTACGTAAGTGATGTAAGTTAATATGTAAGTAGGTAGGGAAGTAAATAAATAAATTAAATAGGTTAAATGCTCATATCACATGAAAACATATACCGTCTGTGATGACATAAGAAAATATCTGAATTGCCTACTTTGCATATTTGACAAATTAAAATGAAAAAAAATTGTGACCACTTCAATACAGTATAACCCCTCCTTTGGGATACCCCTATTATGGGGATACCCCTATCAAGGGGACACTTTTTCGGCCACAAAAAGAGAGAAAATATAATCTTTTAACACTAAGGCCAACCCCTATTCAGGGGACACCCCTGTTAAAGGGACACTTTTTTGTCCCGAAGGCCTCCCCTTAATAGCTGTACAGTAGTTATAAATATTAGGCCTACCATTTCTATATTCTTTTGCTTAGAACCGTGACTGATAATCAATAATTAGGAATCTTTGCTATAAAACGTCAGTTTGTTCTGATGTAGGCAAAGTTAAATTTGTATGTACAATTGTTTTATGTACAAACTCATCTCAATTTGTATTTGAGAAACATAATAACGTTTAAAATGAGCAGTAATCGTGAATTGGCAATAACTATAATCGATTCTACACGAATGTGTTCTTTCTAAAGTCTAAACTTTTAGGTGCGTTGATCCACATCATATTGATAAAAAAAAATCTGCTAAATATAGTAGGCCTATTATAAGATATAAATGTCTAATATTCCTAAATGAATTAAACGTCTTTTTTGCAAAGAAAGTACTTACCTCTCACTAAATGTGTTTCAATGGGATGATGAGGAATCCAAAGTAAAGCTGTTGATTTCTTCCTCAAAAGATTTCACCAGTGACTTAGAAGCAGGTGATGATTCCTTTTAACAGGCGGATTAACACAGATGCTCATGCGCAGTAATTTCATTGACATCATCGCGTGGTGGTATCGCGTCACAATTATTTTAAACGTTTGGTAGGCCTAACTATCGTTCTTTAAATTAGCGGATGTGATACGGACTACAGGTAATGTAGTGTCCAATAATTGTGGCATCAACCGTGGAATCTTCTAAAATCTTTTGACACTTTCACATTTGTGTTTTAAATATAATAAGGTTCACGGATTAACCAGGTTATACTTTCAAAGCGGTTGTAGCCTATACAGACTGGAGCGGCAATAATAAAATAGTTTTAATGATGATGATGCTACGTGTAAATGCTAAGACAATAGCAATAGAACAAACAACGACCATAACAACACCTAAGCTCAACATACTTTCGGGCCTGAAGCAAGAGAACCTCCCACGAAAGTGACGAAGCATGTTGTTGTTTATTAGTACACATGTCCCCTTCTTGTACTGATTACTGATAGCATTTTGTATACTGCTACAATCACTTATTAAACTGTTGAGTTACATAGAAGCTCAATAGTAAGCCATATATGTTGTACATGTAGGCCTACAGTATCTATACGCTTGGCAGGCTATATTTTTAAATAGGTTAATTTTAATGTTCACAAAATGAAAAGATATAGGGCGTAATAACTTTTAGAAACCTAAAAAATTCTACTCTTAAAACTTTTTGGAGTGAGTGTGAGGCCTTGTTGCTGCTGATTACATTCTGCGACAATCGTCTGAGTATCTGTAAGAGTCTTTGTCAAGTCACACACTTCCTCAGACGGCATCCAATCGAAAAAACCAAGCTTGTGACTTTGAATGATGTAAAATAATAACTCGGACTGCTGACTTCAACAATGGCGGATCCAGTGGGGTCAATGAGGCCTCCCCCTCGTCAGTCAAGAAAAAAAAAATAGTGAGAAAAATTTGAGTTAAAAAGAGGAAAAAGGAAAAAAAGAGTGTACACATGAGTTCAGTGATGGTGTGGTGTTTCTTTTCTTGTAGCTTTAGGTTCATGATAATTGTTTGTTCCTTCCTGTTGCGCCTTGAGCACTACTGCAGTGGATTTGTGCGCTTTATAAATCTTATTATTATTATTATTATTATTATTATTATTATTATTATTATTATTATTATTATTATTATTATTATTTCAGTGGCGATCCAGCAGTGGGGTGAAAGGAGAGCTCAATTATTTGCCACTTATTTACACCAACCATGGTGGGGCTGAGGTGGGCGTGGCGGAGAACTTCATATTGTGCCCCCTTCAGAAAATTCTCTGGATCTGCCCCTGTTCAATCCAAGTGGTCTTGCAATGGCAGTGCTTCATATCAGTTATCAAGTGACTTTCTTGTCTCTAAGGGCCAACTGTCGAGTACTTGGGGGGAAAACAAAACTCAGTCACATCTGTAAACCAAAATGTTTCAACTGAAACCAAGCTTTCGTTCGTCCGAGTGTGTGCTGAAACTATCCTTACACAAAGAGCAAAAAAGTGATATAAAGCCTGGTAAAACGAATTACGGTAGGCCTACCTTGAAAGTTCAAAACTTCGTTTGGAAAAAAAATCACCAAAACGATACAGTCTCCCAGACGTCACCAGACGACCTACGTTTCACTAGTTGCTGCCACCGGAAAATAGACCAAATTATATTTAGTTTTATCCTCTCTAATGACTACGGTACCGATTTCATTGATGTACAGAGTACGCTCATTGACATCTGCACGTTGTTGAGACGTTCCTTGTGTGAGTATGGAGTAATAACTAACTACTCAAGAGTAGGTATACCTTTGACTGCAGCTGAACGATACTCTGTATAGATAAACTATCCTAGATAAGTCTAGATATATAGATACATAGATGTAAGAAATGTCAAGGAAATTCATTGTACTCATTTATAGGCCTACAAGTAAATCAAAAGTTATCTATAGAATATTCAGTTTTCTTTGAACGAATCCATGGATTACTCAAAATTACTCGATACAATGGTGATAGATATTAACAAAACGACGTTTAACTGCTTCTTTAATGCGAATTGATTTTGATAAATACACTTGCGAGCTGAGTTCTTTAAAACTAAACGTAACTCGCGGCTTAATATTACCGACCTCACGTAAATGCAACATTGTCTATGTATTGTATACTTGTTCTTGTCACCTGGTCGAATGATGGATTTTCTAAAACAGACATACACGAAGATACTGGAATTGTTTGTTGTTTCCTAGCCTATTGGCATTTAAGGTAAACCGTTTTGCTCTTCAGGAGGAAAAACACGAATTGAAAGCTTAAATAGATATGGGTCAGTAGAAGAACAATTCATTACACACTTTAAAGACCACATAGTCCTCAAGCAGCAATAGTGTTGTATATATGACATTTCATAATTTTGGTTTACTGCTGATAGATAAAAACAGGTGCAACTTAGCGCTGCGTCTTGGTGCAGACGAGCGTAGGCTCCGGAGTTAGTGTGCTTTGCAGTTCACTGCCTCGGGATGCTCTCCATATCAACTGTTGACATGGTAACTTGTATATCATTCCACATATACCTATTATAATGGTTGTAAAATTGATTTGTTCAAAACATATTGCAAAACAATACCATAAGGACGTGTAAAATAGAGATATAAGTAGTAATTTAATGGCTAAGAATCCATACGCATAGTGGTGACTTGTTTCAATTCTTATACTATAATTTGAATACTAATTTTTAATAATTGAATAATTTCTTTTAATTGAAAATTGCTTATAATGTGTGTAATTGAACTTCCTTATATATTACTTTTTTTAAAATTAATTTTCACTGTATTGTATAATTCTCATTTAAAAAAAATTTAAATTGCAATGGTTCCATAAATTTGAATAATTGCTTGTACAGATTATAATATTGCAAATTTTATTGTATCCTGTTTTATGTTCTGCTGCAGGCACCACGTTTGGTGTCATGGCGCTCTGTTGCTGACGCAGCCCTTGGGCTGTTTGTGCCAATAAAATTAATGAAAATGAAATGAAATTAATTTTTTTATCCGTTCATATGAAATAGATATTATTCTGATAAAAATATAAAATCATTACTTTATACAATATCACATCCATCTAACAATTTGTCGCTGTTTAATGATAGTTTATTTAATAATAGAGATAATAATGGTAGTGCGAAATCTTATAATATTATTATGACAATGACGATGGCAATAGTAATGGCAATGGCAGTGACAGAAACAGCAACAGCGACAAGGACAGTGAGAGTGTCAAGGATAAAGACTAATTATTATTATGATTATTATGATTATGATGATTATGATTATAATTATAATTATGATTATGATGATTATGATTATTATTCGATTATTATTATTATTGATATTGTTTTTATTTTATCATTACATTTAACAATTATTTTAACAGTTATTATATAATTTAAATAGTTTATTATTATTATTAGTTTATTAATTGTTAGAATTAATTAATAGAGTTATTGTTTGTAATATGGACAATATATTACTGAATCACTTTACCGCATAATATTTTTCGAAAAGATGTAAACAAGCTGATAACATATCAATCATGAATTCATAATTCATAAACGAATGTACAAACTACAAATTGAATTATCAATGTACAAATCAATTACATTATATAATAGAAATTGTTGTAGAATAATTCATTATTTCTAAGAATTCAATATGATGCATTGTAGCAGTTTGTTATTTATTTATCCGGTATTGATTCTTCATCAGATGATTAGAAAACTGGCTGATTTAACTAGAACACGTAATTGATTGAAAGAATTTACCATTAATGAAATTCTGAAAACGGTGCAAGTAGAAAGTACGGTTGTTTAGTATAAATCGAAAAGATCCACCCTTAAATAGGACTAGACGACTTGCAAGCTGTAACCTTTAAGTCAATCTTTTGCAAGACATGGCTATTTTTCTATAGCTGTGCTATTGATTTTGTAACCTGTAATTTTACTTATTAATCACAATCATCTAACGGTAACCTAAAATTAAAATAAAAAATAATTGGACTCAGGGACCAATTATTTTGAAGCAGCAGATTTTTTTTCTCACTAATTAAATAATTAGTTATCAGACATCAATTAATGCAATGTTAACGTTTCTCTGACCTTGGTTAAAAAATAAACAATGGTGAGTTTAATTATATGCAAAATAATGTTTGATTTCATAATTATTGTAACTTTTTCTGACAACTTGACAGCTTCTTCAGTTAACTGATTGCGCATGTATATAACCACGTGACCATACTCCAGTGCGCGATGATGTGATAGCCGATCATATATGATTTACTTCTTTGACATCACTTTGACAAAATTGCAAATATAAATTCACATTTCTGTTCGGCATTTAACGTAACAGAAAAGTGCACACTACAAATTCCATTTTAGAAATTGTACGATTTTTGTTAAAAAGGACAAGAAGGAACGTTACGGTAATGAATACAGACGCAATGGGATTAAAGGGATATCTTGTAATGATATGTTTTAAGGTCACCACATTCATTTAACATGCTGTTAACACACTAAGGTGTTCCAAATTGCTTTTATATACGGTACCGGTAATTATTCAATATATAATTTATATAATTATTTAAATGTTCCCTACAAGCTGATTTAACTTATCCTTAGATCTATAATAGGTGATTCAGGTGTGAGAGGAGGTGTTTGGGGGTTAGATCTGTGGTTATGTTCTTTATGGTCTAGCGGTATGACACTCGCCTTGATAACGGAAAATTGCAGGTTCGAATCCCTCCAAAAACTCCTTGTTCAACAGAAAAAGAAACTTTTCGTTGCATGGTTATACATGGTGACTATTAAAATTCCTATGTTTGAGCACTGTTAATATTAAATCTATTTCTTTACATCCCATACATAGGTATATTAGTTATACATTGGCTGAATATGTAGTTGAATATTATAGTTATATATCATATATTGTTATATAGAATAGGCCTAGCTGTTACCATGACTAGCTAAACAC